TATAGTACAATCCTCTGAGCACTTTCCTGGGAGTAAAGCCCACTTATTAGACTGCATCAGGTTTCTGAGTAGACGGTTTTAAATTGCACTCATAAAACAGTAGTGAGAGCTGTCCCATCAGCTGGCGTAACTAACAGTAGTATTAGTTACGCCATTATATGCAAGTTTTCAATTGCACAGAATTCTTCATCGAACAATACTCACAGAGAAGGCACTGCCACGGACTAGGTACAAACAAATGTGTATATTTGTTTCGAGCACATTCAAGTAACTGTACCCAGATACAGATGAACCAGCCATCGCAAGGTTTGCTCATTCACACCAAAGTTTACCCGTTACAGATTTAGACGACCCTAATTATGTTTGGCTCAGTACCCGTACATACGTTAGATTACTGGGCGAGAATGCGCACGCGCATTTTTACTTCACGCGATCCCGGGCACGCCCCTACCTCTCACTTGGGACACGTCGCCTGTCTAGTCTAGACCAACAGCAATAGTTTTCGTCTTTTCTCTTCCGCACTTAGTTGTAGGCGCCTCTGCGGATGCCGTAGTCATGTGATTTGAACTGGCATTGTTGCCAGGGTCAGCCATGGCTCCGGACTCCTGGTGAGTAAGTGGGGCTGGGGCAGTCGTGCTCAGGCAACAGGTCTGCGTGCGGGTCGCTGAGAATTTCTGTCTTAAAGTATGATATTTGCCTTAGGACGGTCTCGGGATGAGAACAAGGAAGGTGTGCTCCGGTCTGGCCCTGGCCTAAAAGGAAACAAAGTGCAGCCAAGTCTAGAGTTGCACACGCATCTCTCTTCTCTCCCATATAGTTGCTGGTTATCGTGATGGGGGTGGGTGGGATTGCTTCCCTGCAAAGGAAACAAAGTGCAGCCAAGTCTAGAGTTGCACACGCATCTCTCTTCTCTCCCATATAGTTGCTGGTTATCGTGATGGGGGTGGGTGGGATTGCTTCCCTGCTCGCCCTGTTGCCCACGGCGAAGTCAGTATAGTATAGTGTGGGTTTCATCCCATTAGGAAGAACCGCGCAAGTCGTGATTAGGTGCAAAGAAAGGCAGGTCTCCTGTGCCGTGTAACGGCTGTGTAGACCTCGCATGACAAACTGGACTTGCCACTATTCCTTCTGTGATGCAGCGAATAGATACCCAGGTTCCCTATATGACTTTGCGCTAGCTACACAGGGCAAAATAACGAGTCTCGTGGCACAGGGGACAAGTTTTTTGTGTGCTAGAACGTGCAAGTACAACTAAATTATTAGATTGTGTACCTTTCTGAAGACAGGGATCCATGTATCCACACACCCTCACTTTTTCCTACTCTGAGTCATGTGGATAAAATGCATTTAAAATACTGCACTGTTCATAATAACTTAGTGATTTGGTGCCAGTTCCTGCAACTGTTCACTCATCGTTTCTTGTCTGGCTGAGTTGTACTATGTTTCTGGCAAAAGAGCTTTTTAAGTGGTGTTAGCATGGTGTAATGGTTAAGAGTGGCCAACTCTAATCTGGAGAACCGGGTTTGATTCCCCAGTACGGTTGCCAGATCCAGATTGGGATACTCCTGGAGATTTGGGAATGGAGCCCGAGGAGGCCAGGAACCTCTGTGGGGTACAATGTCATAGAGCCCATCCTCCAAGGCAGCCATTTTCTCCAGGGCAACTGATCTCTGTAGTGTGCATATGTCTGGGGCATCCCCAGGTCCCACCTGTAGGCTGGCAGTCCTGTTCCCCACTCTTCCACATGAAGAATGCTGGTCACTTTGGGCCAGTCACAGTTCTCTCAGAACTCTGAGCCCCACTTACCTTACAAGGTGTCTCTTGTGGGGAGAGGAAGGGAAGGTGATTGTAAGCCACTTTGAGACTCCTTAGGGTAGAGAAAAGCCGGGTATAAAAAGCAACTCTTCTTCTAAGTTCCTTATCATGAGTATAATCTAATTTTGCATTCTACTGTTCAGCCCACATTTGTAGACTTGCTGTAGGATCCTATAAAGCAGATTTATTTAGGATAAGCATTGGACCTTGAATGTTTTAGATGTTTAGATACTTATACTTGTCTTTGCTCCCCAGTGGAGACTCATAGTGGCTTGCAATATTATCTCCTCACTTTTATTCACCTAATGCTGTGGGTATTTTAGGCTGAGAGTTACTGCCTGGCTCAGGGTCTTCCATGTGGGGCTTGAATCTGGATCTCCAAGATCCTAATCCAACGCTCTAATAATTACACCATGCTGGCTCAAGAGAGGCTTGTTTGGGGGCATTATGTGAAATGTGGGGCAGCTGGTATGCCAATTATGTGGAATTTTAGATGTTGTAAGCTGATGATGACCAATGCTATCCGGCAATTGTAGGTAGCCTGGCTTGCAGACAGTGCAGATAATATTCAGTAGTAAATAAGCCTGTTGTAATTACTCTGTTATGGCATATTGAGCATTTTGCAACATGCTGATTTTATGCTTCATCTCATGTGGGTGAAATGTTTATTACAATGTCCAGTATTGCAGATATACATTGTTTTTATTGGTCTTTTGGATCTAAATGTGATTGCTTAGTATTGCACGTGAGTTCTTTGCAACTCACAATGTGAGAGTTTTTGTCAATTGGACAATGTGATAGTGGGGCTTGGCTTGGATTAACCTTAGAAGAAATGAGATGTGAATCAAGATTCTTCTGTAGGAGATCTGCAGTGGGAGGCCTATACCTGTCTCCAGTGCTTGCAAATGTGTGTCTCCTGAGGCAGCCATCACCACTAAGAAGAAGAAGAGACTGAATTTATACCCCGCCCTTCACTACCCAAAGGTGTCTCAGAGCGGCTTACAAACTCCTTCCCCTCCCCACCACAGACACCCTGTGGCTGAGAGAGCTCTGAAAGAAACTGCTCTTTTTCAAGAACAGCTCTTATCAGAACTACAGCTTGCCCAAGGTCATCCAGCCAGGTGCAAGTGGAGGAGTGGGGAATCAAACCCGGTTCTCCCAGATTAGAGTCCACGCACTTAACCACGACACCAAACTAACAGTTTGGCCCAACTGGGTATATGCTCCTCCCTGCGATAGCTTTTCACCACCACAGGTCCTTTTTGCCTTGTTTGTTATTGTGGGGATTGGCAGCAGGAGACTGGTGGGTAACAAGGTGGCTGCTGCAAAGATGGACAGGCTTGGATTCAATCCTCCCCTTTCCCTAGTGCCCACTAAAGATCTTTGGGCTGGATAGATGGGTGAGGCAATATTTCCTACAATTAACAACAACAACAACAACAACAACAACAACACATCTGTCATCATTCCATATTCTCTATGTCTCTTCTTGGCTACCTGAGGAAGCCTGCCTCTTTTAGCCTGGTGTGTTTATTTGAGTATGTGCAAGTCAGAGCTTGGACACAAGGTCAATTAATGATGGTGATGATATGGACATCTCCCACTGTCTCTAATGGGTAGTGGGCCACATTTGTTCAGAAACCCGGCAGGTTCCTGGTTATGTTCACTGCTGTGGTAGGCTTGCACTGTTCCCACATTAACAACAAGTGACTCATATACATAGCAGTAGTTGGATTCATAGAATGAGTATTTGAGCAGTGTCACTTGACAGTCCTACTCAGATCAGTGGAGATTTAGTTTTGGAATACACAAGTAACAGATGTTGTTAACAACTCCCAAATTAGACATGAAACCAATGGCATACTCAATTAACTAGACAAAAATTTATTCTGGTAAAATATTCTTGTGTTTTAGTTGCTATTGTGACACGCTGCTTATTTGGGGGAACTGTTTTCACTTTAAAATTATACTCTGTGTTTATAAACTGGGTAGTTTCTGCTGCCACCAGGAATTTTAAGAAATTCCAAATCTTCTCTCTGTTTCTGCTGCTGGTAATGTGGCCCAGGGACTGGGCTTTCTGAAATCTATGTGGCCCTGAGGAAGGATTGAATTGAATTCTGGGTTAAAATTAAACAAAATATGATTTATTGATTAAGGAACAAAAATATGTTGCTGTTTATCTGTAACTGTTTTGGGGGAAAGGAACTGGTAAATAAACTGGCAAGTTGTCACACACAGTCTTTTGACATTAAGATCCCACTCTGACAGGAATCTCTCACATAGGCAGCCACACTGGCTTAGCTCTTTGTACTATTGGTTCTCTGTCTTTACTTCAGAGTCTCACAGACCCTTCTCACAGCTCCTTCACATTTAAACTCTTAAAGCTGTATATACTGAACTCTGAACTCATTAAGTTTCCACACAGACTCTGTCAGCTCACTCACTGTCTCACTCTAAATCTGACCTCTCCATAACTCAGATTCACTCAAAACTGACTTCAAGACACACACAGATTCACTCTAAACAACTCCTCCCACACTCTCCGTCCTCCACCAATCACAACACACTTCTCTCTCTCAATCATTCTACTCTACTAGTACTGCACTCCAACCAAACATTTAAAGACACACACACACACACACACACACACACACTAAAACAAGGAATCATGACAGCTATAAATCTGTTTTATCAACTACACCAGCAACATTGCATGGGAATTAGCTTAACATAATAGAAATAGGGTGGTATAAATGTATAGAATGCAGGTATTTATTAGAATTAAATGATGGAACTCAGGTACTTCTCACACTAACCTTGAAATAAGTTCCACTGAAATCATATATAGGTTATGGCTAAATGCTTGCCTTGAAGCTCTTCTCCCAAATCTAGTTTTGTAAAAACAGGGTGCCCGGTGGTGAGTAAAAGGTATTGTATATGTACTGGTGGATGTATGACTTCACACATTCCTGGGTGTAGCCCTAGAATTAAAAACAGGATCTGAGGCTTAGCCCAAGTGGGCATTCAAATGTGTCTTAAACTAAATTGTGAATGAGAAGGCATCCAACAATGAAATAATGAACACTATAGATCTCTGCTAAAGTTACACTGCTGGGACAGATAGTCTTCTAAAATGGCAGCACAAAGTATGTGTGTGTATTTATAATTGACCTTACAGAGTCAGTTTTAAAAGTTGGGACAAATAATATAAAAATACAAGTAACAAATGTAATGAATTTGTTGTATTGGGTTTTAAATATGATGTGCTTTATAATGTGTATAGTCAATACTGTGTCTGTGTTGTTTTAAAACTTTTTATTTGTAAAAGTGAAAGCATATCATTTAAATAAAGTTCCTGTTGTTGCTTCAGGATATTGTTAATTCAAGTCCCTGTTTCTGTACTGATAAGGGTAAGATTATGGTCTTCTGTATGGCTATTTGGCAAGTTGTTTTTTGTGGCATGGTTGGAAGGTGAGATGAAAGAGATGCATTGCTGATATAGCCAAATAATTTAACTTAATATGTTGTTGAAGTTACCATGTCATATTACACAGGGAAGCCATTGAAATTCTTAAACATAAACTTAGAATATGAAGAGCCAATCCATATGCAAAAGAACCTCCTCAGGAAAGCTCTTCCATTAGCATGTCACAGCCTGGGGAACTCCTACAAGATAATGACTCAGCCCTACCCCACCTTCCTGAGTAGATATAAATTACCCGCCTACCATTTTTCTTCTCACTTTACACAGAGAGTACTCCATCTTTCTGTGTTATACCTCTGAGGATGCTAGTCACAGCTGCTTGTGAAACGTCAGGTCCTACAATGCTAAGACCACAGCCATACAGCCCAGAAAATCTACAACAACTAAATTAACTTAAATTTGACAAGCAGATTTTTGCATTTGCTTGGAAAGTCAAAGTTACAAGGCTGGAAAACTGGTTTGGTAATTCACTGTGATGTGCAAGCCCAAGTTCTTTAGAATTGGGTTGATACAAATTGGGGTCTTGGGGGGAATTTTGAAAATCTCACTTGAGCTTCCTACAAAACCTTTCTCTCTAGGGTGGTTTATTCTCCTCCACCCCCTCAATTGATGTTCATCTGTTCTCAACATTCCTTCACTTTTGGAGCATTTTGAGTTGCCTTTGTGTTAATTTCCAAAGTAACATTTTTTTCTGCATGCCTGGGGCATCTCCTGAATATGTAAAGATCAATGATGTGGTTTTCCCAAATCAGTATAAATTAGACAGTTTTCTGATACCCTACAGTGTGAACTGATTTGGAATGCTTGTTTGACTAAATATATAAAATCATAAAAACTATAAGTTCCTCATGTTAATTTTGCGTGCTGTGAAAATATCTGTTTTTCTCCTCAATTGATGTTCATCTGTTCTCAACATTCCTTCACTTTTGGAGCATTTTCAGTTGCCATGGGGTGGTGATCAAGGATTTCCCCCCTTTGTGTTAATTTCCAAAGTAACATTTTTTTCTGCATGCCTGGGGCGTCTCCTGAATATGTAAAGATCAATGATGTGGTTTTCCCAAATCAGTATAAATTAGACAGTTTTCTGATACCCTACAGTGTGAACTGATTTGGAATGCTTGTTTGACTAAATATATAAAATCATAAAAACTATAAGTTCCTCATGTTAATTTTGCGTGCTGTGAAAATATCTGTTTTTCTAATGTTTGAACTAAAATATATGAATCAGAAAAAAACAAATTAAGCACATTTAAATGTTTAAATATTAATATCCACATAAAGCTTTGAATATATTTTTGAGTTTTTGAAAAAAGTTTAAAGGCTGTAAGTTTAATACATGCTCTTCTGATGTGTTTAAATTTTAAGGATAGTGAATGAAGTACTGAAAACTGTTCTCAGTCGAATTTTAACACACACGTAGAACTATGCATGATATGCTACTATTGTACATTTATCTTTATCAGCAGAGTTTAAGATGACACTGGGGCACCTTCAGTTCCCACTGCCATGATAGAATCACTGGCTCTAGTTGTTATCTATAGTTCAGAGTGGTGCAAATCTGACTCAGAACTGTTTAAACCAAATTATCTCCTGGTAATGGATGGTTTCCTGGTTGGGCTTGTGATTTGTCTTCCAGCAGCAAGGGGCAGTGATATGACAAACTATTCCCCCCCCCCCCGCTGCCCATTGAGGCATTATGGCTGTGTCAAAATATCCAAAAGCATTCATAATGTAACACACCTTATGCAAACATCTCCAGCTCAGCAAAATGAATGCTTTGTTTTCTGGAAGTGAAATCAACACTAATTGCAAGGTATGGTTTTGCTCTCACTCGTAGTCTGAAATGAATACAAATTTTAATTTTGGTTTTGATTTGAGTTGCACCATGATGGATTGGCCCTTTGATTTAAAAAGTTCCTGGTGGGCTGGTCAGCTCAGCTTTTGTGCTGCTGCTGTCCAGGTCTAACCCAAGCAGCTCCTGTAGAGCCACTTGGGTTGAACCTGGCTATTGCCTGTTGTTGGTTGGGGCTCCTAGGGCAGGGGTCCTCCAGCGTGGTGCTCATGGGCACCATAGTGCCCGCTGACACCTTTCCTGGTGCCTGTCAAGTACTTTTAGAAAGTGGGCAGGGCTTTTACCCAGCAGGACGTCTTACTGATCATTGAAGATTGGATTTGCCGTGTAGAGTTTTAAAAACATTGCTTCAGCAGTGACTGCTACCACAACACATCACAACATATCACCGCCCTGAGCCTGTTTGCAGGATGGGCAGGGTATAAATGTAATAAATAAATAAATATATTTATTGGGTGTCTGAAGGTAAGTTGTATGTATGGGATAGCGGTATGGTTGGTAAAGGGGGTTATTATATCACTATGTTGGAACAGTTTTACTGTTGGCAAACTTAATTATGTATGTTGACTGTATTTTAAATGTTTTATAAGGCTATAAATCACCCAGAGCCTGCTTGCAGGTTGGGCGATTCATAAGTTTAATGAAATAAGTAAATAAATATGCAAGAAAATATTTTAAACAATATGTTCATTTTGAAAGGCATCCTGTTAAAGCTTCTGCTTGAAACTATTTGTCCTGGCCCCACTGCTGGACCTCCTGATGGCACCTGGTATTTTTGGCCACTGTGTGACAGAGTGTTGGACTGGATGGGCCATTGGCCTGATCCAACATTGGCTTCTCTTATGTTCTTAACATGTAAGGCTGTACTGAACATTAACAGGAGGAGAGACTCTTGTAAGGCATTTTAGCTCCAATTTGGGTAGAGAAGCAGGATATAAATAAGTAAGTCTAGCCCAGTGCAGTCTGCAACAGCAGTCAGATACCCTGAGGAAGCTTATAATCAGGGTACAATGATTACACAGGGTACACACACACACACCCTTTCCTCATTTACCCCCAGCATCTAGCACTACTGATATACTGCTGGAAAACATGGAGGTTCAGTTCAGCCGTCACAGGTAATGGCTTTCATTAGACCTAACCTCTTAATTTGTGTAACACCCCCCCCCCCCAAAAAAAGAAGCAGTCTTCATTGGGCTTTTTAAAGGGGTCTTCTCTCTTCCCCCCCTTCTCCCCCCCTCATATTTTTCTGCATGTCTGGGGAGTTTCCTCAAATATAATGTCTGTGACTGGTCTTGTACAGTTTTAATTATACATATAAAGGACACCCAGTTTTATATTGGATATAGTGATGATTGGCTTACAACTATACCTTTAACAGAATACTTGTCTCTTCTCACCCTTCCACCTTTGGGCAGGGCACCCAAAATGTAGAAGCTTAGAGGCATCCTAAATACTAAGTGTTCAGTGCACTTGATTGGAGGCAGAGACAAGTAGCCCTGTACCGATGGCACATCTGCTGATAAGTCAGTGCTCATTGAGGGAGAGCAAGAGCACATATGCTGGCTTCAATATACATTCATTCTCTAGATTTTGAACATGGCATGGACATGTGTCCAAACTGTATGATCCTTGTGATCAGGAATGGAGTTTTTCTTGCATTTGTGGTCACAGGGACAGAGTGGCTGATCACAATTCATGCTGGTGTTTGTAAGGGGAACTTGTACATTGTGAAGGAGTGATGCATGCTTACATACACAACAGATATGTGTCTAATGAAGTCACAGGCAGTTGTTGCTTGTTTCTTGTGTTTTTGACAGTGTTACTTCCCCTTCCCACCACTGGTCCTTAGCAGTTATAATGGTATCCTAGAAATGTTGAAATAGGTAGAAGCGCTTCAGGGTTGTATGTATTCTAATGTCTACACTGTATAGTAATTGAACTCTTGGTTTCTGTAAGGGTTGCATGGTCTGACGACTTTTTGAGATGTGCTCTGAAGCTGGAAAGATTCTGCCTTTGAAGTAGGCTTCTTTATACGGCTTTGGACCAGTAGCAAAAACTGAGACTGAATAATGTTTTTGTGATTAGCAGAGATGAAAACATAGATGAAAAATATGTGTGTTAATATGTTACAGATGAAAAGTATATGTATTAATAGTTTATACATAAATATATGTATTCTATTATAGGTTATCGGTGTATGATTCCACTTACCTGATCGCCCAAGAAATTGCTGAAAAAATTCAAGAACGCAACAGATGTCAGAGGAATGGTGAAAGTACAGCTAAGGTACTTAAGCATATCTTCTTCCTGTCCTTACATTCTGTCATCTTTAAGATTAGGCAAGAGCATCCCCTTACCCTGTACCATTTGGGTGCTAGATTCAGTCCATTAAGGTCCACAGAAGAGGCATTCTAGAGTGGCAACTATGGAACTCCTGTACTGTAGAGATTATCAGAACCTATTTTTGAAGTGGTCCAGAACATTAGGGTTTTAGTGCTTAGCTTTGTACAGGAAAAAGTGAATTTCAGCCTTTTATGTGGTTTAGTTGTTTTATGCTGCTAAATAACAAAAGCTGAAAACTCTGTTTTGCTTCCTGTGGATGGAGAGGCGTAAGAGTTAAAATGAATATTTTAGAAAACAGGATGACTTGCGTCATGGTTTGAGAGAAGTTGTTCTGGGGTAAAGAGTTCAGTTGCTTTTTGACACACATTGCTCTCTTGGTAGAGAGGCAATCTGCTAGATTGACTCAAAAGGTGTTATTCACTTTCAGAGTTTTCATGTATATACAGTAGGTGTAATTGAAGTGCAAATGATTATGCTTGAAGCCAGAATTCAGAAAAACATTCTAGCTTCTTAAGATCCAGGGGGGCACCAAGTTGCTGTTATTGTATTTTCTTTAAATCAGCTTCCGGAACTCCCACAGCCAGGTTTGTTTGTTTTCCTGAGCCGACAGCTACGTACCTGGGATTTTTGAGCCCTGCTTGGAACTTTATTAGAGTGCTGTATCCTAGCTTATAATTGGAAAGAAGTGGCTCTTGATGGAAGGCCTCTGAGAATGTAATACTTTCAAAATTACTATTGCAGGAAGAATTTGTTTGCTGCAGTTCTTATTTTCAGCCTTGTTCATATTTTGGGCTGTACCATTGCAACAGCAAGAGACAGTAGCACCAGCACACAAACCTCTGCTAGGGCAGAGCAAAGCTTCTACATTCTGTGATGTTAAACCCTCAGATGGGGGACTTGAGCTTTGGCTAACATGCTTTGTCATTCTGATTGAAATAATCTTACATAAGTAAATGTATACTTTCACTTCTCTCATTTACTAGGAAAACTGAGAAGGCAAGGTGAGAAGTGTCCACTTATTTGTTGCTTGTATCCCACTTCTTTTGCTCATGTGCTGTTCCAAATAGGTTGATTTCTCAAGCGTATTCTTGCCTCTTTCACACTCTCTACTTTGAGTGCCTGATGGTGTAAAAATGAATCTGGAACTACTGCAAGGTGCTTGTGTTGTATCAGAGGCACTTCATAGTCCACCACACTTTCCCTGTATTGTAGAGATTGTGGTTTGTGTTATGAAATGCATTACTCAGTTGATGAATGATTCTATGAAGAAAATTTTCCATGTCTTCATGTTATAGTACTCTTGATGTTATAGTGCTCTTCATTTTATAGCACTCTTGCTCAGTGGGAAGGGAGCGTTTGAGTCCAGTGTAAACAGGCCTCTTAACAATGATGATATTTATTGCCATAACAACTGATGTTATGGGCTGATGTTAAAAAAGCAGATCAGTCATGTTTTCTGTGGCTGGGGAAAAGTTTTAATGGAGAAAAATGTCCTTCCTCCATAGGTGCCAAGTAGGAAAAATGTGGACAATATCTTGTTTTTGTGGTATTTATGCCATTTCTGTCTCCTTTGGTATTTGTGTGATGAGAACAGTGGCTGATTTTCTTTCCACTGGGATTTGGGACTGAGGGGTTGAGTATAATCTGTTGTAGCTCACTATTCTTTTTAATCAAATGTATACATAACTCAGATGTCTCATTTGTATTGTTGAGCAACTGAACGGGCACTGAAACAATTGGTTCAGAAGGAATTGTAGCCTGGGAAATATTTTATGGGTGGATAATGTTGCTTCATTATCTTAGATTATAGTGACATGAGATTTTGGAGCTCTCATGGTCAGTGAATTCCAGCATATTAACTGGGCTGACTGTCAGTTTAATGCATTGTTTGCACAATTTGCTTGTCTTTAGCTTTCAGTGGATCACAGCAAGGGAGCTGCTTTGTTGTTTATGAAACCTTGACCCCAAATCAGGAGGTCTGCAAATTATTTAGCCCCAGGTTCCCCACAAGCTTATCCTCTGGAGTGGGCAAGAGGTAAGCCCCTTGCAGTTGTATCCTGATTCCAAGAGAAACAGCTGTCTGCACCAGGGTGCATGACCTGGCTATCTGGGGCTTGAAAAGGTCTTGCAATATCATCACAAGGGCTGATGGTTTCTCTTTAACTAGACTTGATTAAGATTGTTGCTAGAATCGAAATGGGAAATGTTACCTGAGTGTCGTTTTCCAAACTCCGGGGCTACAGCTGGCTTCCCTTTCCAACATACTTTGCTTTTGAAACACTTAAAATTTTTTATTGCCAAACAGAAAGGCAGGAGCAGTATCAGCAGGCAATTGCTAATTTATGGACAAAACATTTTCTGTGATGAAGTCAGCATGTGTGCCTTATGTATACTGTTGTATATTGCCAAGTTGTAGGTTGCCAACTTTTTGTTTTCTGCTATGAAAATACGAGCTGAATTAATGTCCCATGTGTAAATGTTAGGTTTAATTTTTTTAAATTTGTCGTTATGGATCTGGATGAATATTGTAATAGGGATTTTTGTGGGTTATTAATAATTGATTGTTTTGTGTTTGTATAGCTTATAGGCAGCAATAAAGATTACTACTACTGCTATTGTCTACATGTTTTGGGGGTGGTTGTATCATTGTAGTTCTGAAAAACTATGCTCGCTTATTTCTCTTCTTCACTGTCTCCCTTAGTACAGTGTTGCCATCAGGTCACTACTGCAGAATCTTAAAGAAAAGACAGATCATCTGAAGGACCTGCTGTTTCGCTCTGTTTCAACATGTCAGATGTATCCCTGCAAACTGCAGACCTCCTGGTGCTACAAGGCTGATTGCAACATTCTGTGTTAGGAAGGCAACTGGATCCTTTTTCTTTCCTTTAAGATTCTCAACAAATGTCAAAATGCTTGTAAATTAAATTAAATGTTGTTTGGTCTATATATGGATGCACTATACAGCAGCAGTTTTAACTAAATGGGCTGGTACAGCTGCTAGGTACAAGCTTCAGAAGGAAATAATAGCAAGGATTCCTCAGGCAATACCAGCAGAATCCTTGGCATTATTTCCTTCTGAGGCTTGTGAAGTTTGTGACTGGTTGCCCATTTATAGAATTTGTATACTTAATGGATGTTTTTCTGAGAAGTCTATATCCTAGACTTTGTAGAAAATTGTAATAGCTATTACTGAAGAAGATTTTTGAAATGAAGTTATTAATATCTGGAATCTTCTTTTCTACTGATTTGAATAATCTGACATACATTTGACTCATCTATAATTGCTTTGTTGCAACTTATTTGCTATTTTTATTGACTTATTAATTGATTATACACCTGACTTATCTGTAATTGCTTAATACTTTACTGCAACCTGCTGCTATGTAATATTTGCATTTTTGTATGCATCATGTAATATTTGTTTTTATTTATTTATTTTTCTTTATTAATTTCAATTTATAACCCACCTTTATTTATATATTAGCTTTTGCTTTTACTATATTCAGTGTCCTTTCTACAGTTTTGCTTTGCCTTTGATCCCTTATTGTTTACATTATAGAGAAGTACATTCTTGTAATATTACAAAGAGAAGTCCATCCTCATGTTACTATGAGCACCTGAATGTAAGCCAGGTTCCTGAGGTTTTTTTTCTGCTTCTGTTGGGGATATCGGCACAAAGTATGAGCATATGATTCATTTATAGATTTGTATTTGAACTGGCAGAAGCTGGGACCAGAGACGGGAGCTCACTCCATCATGTAGCACTCGGGTCTCGAACTGCCGAACTACCGACCTTCAGGTCTGCAGTTCAGCATCTTAACCACTTGAGCCACTGCAGCTCAATTGCAAGTAGATAAATAGGTGCCACTTCGGTGGGAAGGTAACAGCGTTCCATGCGCCTTGGTGTTTAGTCATGCCAGCCACATGACCATGGAAATGTCTTTGAACAGCGCTGACTCTTCGACTTGGAAACAGAGATGAGTACCACATCCCTAGAGTCGGATTTGACTGGCTTTTGAGCAAGGGAAACCTTTTCCTTTACCTTATTTGAACTGGGCCTATCTATAGTAATTTTAAAAGACACTTGGAGAGATAACTTGCATGCCACCACTCTAATGAGTTTTTAATGTTGGGAATTACTGATCTATCATATCTGGAACTACATAAGCATTGCGATTTTTCTATGGAACAACCTTGTTAGAAGTGAGGTTCACATTTAGGAGATGTTGACCAATTAGGATTAGTTCCTTGGTTATAGTAACAAAGATTAAGAAATTAGTGGGGTTAGTAAAGATTATGCTATGATAAAGATTCCTAAATGGTGTTCCATTAGATCCTCTGGGAAGTAATACATTTCTAGTATGATTTTAAATTGGTCTAAATACTTCATTCATATATCCTTGATGGTCCTGCAATTATTCAGTAAATGTAAGAAACAGAGCCCAGTTTATCTCATAAAGTATTATATTTAAGGCGCATCTAAAAGTGGAAGTATTATATGTGGTTTCAGCCCACAGCAACTTTGATCAGTGTTATATTGTGTTTTATACCTTTAAGAAAGAGCTATCCAACACAGCTGAATAGTTTTCTTTAAGTAGAGTTAGTTTCAAGTTTTTTGTAGAGAGCATTTTGTCAGTAGAATTCAGAAAGCTTTTGTATCTGGTTAGAGAAGAGGTTCAGGACTGGCTTGCTCTTGACATAAACACTTAAGTGGCATTAAGAGGTAAGTTCTAAATTATTCAGTTCCATTCAGCTTTGTGTTTCTTGTTTCAATAACCATGGTTTGTTCCAGGATGATAATTATGAAGAAAATAAAATACTCTTGACGTTTGCACAGAGCATGTTGCCAGCCAAATTCAGAAGTCTTTTGCATCTGTTTAGAGAAGAGGCAAGACAGGGTGAGCTCCTGTCTCTAGTTCCAGCTCCTGCCAACCTAGCAGTTCGAAAGCAAGAAATTGCAAGTAGATAAATAGGTACTACTTCGGTGGGAAGGTAACAGCGTTCCGTGCGCCTTGGTGTTTAGTCATGCCGGCCACATGACCACGGAAACGTCTTCGGACAGCGCTGGCTCTTCGGCTTTGAAACAAAGATGAGCACCGCAACCCTAGAGTCGGATTCGACTGGCTTTCGAGCAAGGGAACCTTTACCTTTACCTAGAGAAGAGGTTAAGGACTGGCTTGGTCGCAGTATAAACACTGAATTGTTATAAGAGGCTGATAACTTTGAAGACAATAGGAATACTCCTGAGGAAGACTTTGACGAAATGAGCTTTCATCCCGGTGCTCGTAGTAACATCATTGGGATGGACTTCTCTTTGTAATATTCTATGGATTTACTTCTGTAGAGTGTGACATAAGATTTATATATTGATTGTAAAACTTTTTTTACTAAACGTGTTAGCCAGCATATCACAGTGTTTGTTTGTATTTTCAGGTGACTGTTTTATGCAGTCTTATATAGAGCAGGTTAGGAGCTGTGGTGGCTCAAGTGGTTAAGACGCTGAACTGCAGGCTGTGGAAGGTCGGTAGTTCAGCAGTTCGAGACCCGAGTGTGCCGCATGACGGAGTGAGCTCCCGTCTCTAGTTCCAGCTCCTGCCAACCTAGTAGTTTGAAAGCAAGAAACTGCAAGTAGATAAATAGGTACCACTTCAGTGGGAAGGTAACAGCATTCCGTGCGCCTTGGTGTTTAGTCATGCCAGCCACATGACCACGGAAATGTCTTCGGACAGCGCTGGCTCTTCGGCTTGAAAACGGAGATGAGCACCGCAACCCTAGAGTCGGATTCGACTGGCTTTCGAGCAAGGGAACCTTTACCTTTACTTTATAGAGCAGGTCTCAGTTTAGAACTGAAGGGTAGTTAGGACTTTTGCCATTGTGCTACTCATTCTATAATTTGTGTTAGGTTAGATACATATATTTATAAAACAAGGCCGGAATTGAGTATTTTTGCTTGCATTTCCCAAGTCCAACATGGTTCCAGCTGTGCCGATAGGTGAATGTATGTGGGTTTCTTCCTGCTTATTTTAGTACTGAAAATGTAAATTATAGAAATTTTCACGTTTTACTTCTAAGAGTTAACCTTAACCCAGTTATTGTAGAACACAGCACGAAGGAGATAGACGACAGAATTTATTGGATGATCTTCTCACACGACATGGACAACTTCAAGCATCCTTCAGGAATGAAAACACAGAACCAGATGTGATAAGGTTTGCTATCGCCACTTTTAAATAAGCAGTATGGGAGAGTAGCTATATCATCAGAATGCTTCTGAAGTGCTTTTGTGCATAGACCCTTTTTGTTTTAATTTACACTGTCTTTCATGTGATCAGTTTCACTGTTCATAATGACTTTCATTTTAATATTTCTGTAAGCTTCTTGAATAGTTCAGTGTTGGAAGCTGGTGAGAATTCTAGGAGAATCCTCATGACATTGTAATGTATTATCCGACCTTACTTTAGCTGTACAGCCACTGCTACTACTTTTTACACTGCAGACCTGCCAGACTCAGTACACAGACAATAACAATAAACTTAAAGGTTACATTAAAGCCAATCATGATGAAAAGCCTAAAGTAACTACTATCTGAATGCTTCAGAGCCGGTGTGGTGTGGTATAGATAGATAGATAACCTTTATTGGCATGTAAACAATAAAAGTACATTAATATTTTTTTTTAAAGTACATCCATCATAAGGCCAACCAAAATGAAATAGATCAGTTAAAAGCTTCCCTGGATTGAATTGCAGACTGGAGAAAACAGGCAACATTAGAGGTTATGAGAAAGTTGTAACCAGAACGTAAGCATTGGACCTTGACACTGTCCGGAAGGCCACACCATGTACATAGAAGGGAGTTCAAAAATTTTTCTCGGATATTAATGTATAATGGACAATTTAATAGAACATGGGAAACAGATTCAATAGCACCCAGGCTACAGGGGCATCGTCTAAATTCATAGGGGATTTTTTTGACATCTTCCAAAGAATCTGGCTAGCATAAATGCCCTTCTTTGATGGGGATCAGTTAAAGAACAGAAATAAGAGGCTATTTGGCCAGGTATCAGAGATAATTCCAGATGAATTGGAGTTTTCCTAGCAGCCTCAGTCAGGCTCTGCAATTGGATATCTAGCAGCCTACATTTAATTATCTGAAATGCTGTTGAGGCAGATGATAAGTAAAGCGAATCTAGAGGTATACTGATAGACCTTATTTTGTTAAGGACTAATTTCAACCAGTTAGAGTGTGGTATAGGGTTTAGAGTGTAAGGCTAAAAACTAGCGAGACCCAAATCTTCACTCAGCCTTGAAGCTTTCTGGCTAATGTTTATTTATTTATTTATTTATTAAATTTATACCCTGCCCCACCCCGCAAGCGGGCTCAGGGTGGCTTACAAAATTGGTCTATAGATGGCCGTAAGGTAGAGGTAAAGGTTCCCTTGCTTGAAAGCCAGTCGAATCCGACTCTAGGATTGCGGTGCTCATCTTCGTTTCAAAGCCGAAGAGCCAGCGCTGTCCGAAGATGTTTCCGTGGTCATGTGGCCGGCATGACTAAATACCAAGGCGCACGGAACGCTGTTACCTTCCCACTGAAGTGGTACCTATTTATCTACTTGCAATTTCTTGCTTTCGAACTGCTAGGTTGGCAGGAGCTGGAACTAGAGACGGGAGCTCACTCCGTCAGGCGGCAACTCAGGTCTTGAACTGCTGAACTACTGACCTTCCACAGCCTGCAGTTTAAAATTTAAAATTCAACACAATAAAATAAAATAAAACGAAACCTCATAAAGTGCTAGTGCTAATACATTGAATGCATAAGATGGCGTGCTAAAATTACCATACAACCAGACAGTTTCGCTCAGTGATCTTCTGGAGCACAGTGTTAGCGGCCAGATGTTAGTACTACTGGCCCGCTCGTTGGTGGTTGGGGGCGGCAGCTCCTAGTTGAAAGCCTGGTGGAAGAGCTCCATCTTGCAGGCCCTTCGGAACTGCATAAGATTCCGCAGGGCCCTGATCTCCTCTGGGAGCTCATTCCACCAGTGTGGAGCCGCCACCAAAAAGGCCCTGGCCCTAGTAGTGGCGAGCCTGGCATCCTTGGGGCCCGGTAGGGTCAGTCAGTTCTAGGACCCCGACCTCAGTGCTCTTTGGGGTATATATGGGGAAAGGTGGTCCCGCAGGTATGTCGGACCCTGGCCATATAGGGCTTTAAAGGTAAGCACCAGCACCTTGAAGCGAATTCGGTATGCTATTGGCAGCCAGTGCAGCGCCTTCAGCACAGGCTGGATGTGTTTCCATCTGGGAAGACCCATCAACAGCCTGGCCGCTGCATTCTGCACTAGCTGCAGCTTCTGAATTTGCGACAAGGGCAGCCCCATGTAGAGAGCGTTACAGTAGTTGGACTTGTTGCATTCGGGCAGCCCCATGTAGAGAGCATTACAGTAGTTGGACTTGTTGCATTAGATCAACCTAACCTACCTAGCAGCATAATTTGGATGATGAAGAAATCAGCAGAGCTGGGTCAAAGATGGGCACTGGAGCCATGTGAAGCAGGGCAACCAGTCAGGGCAACCAAGAAAGGAGTGTGGGGAGAAGTATGTATCGTAAAAAATAGAAGCCAGTGCATATTGTTTGGTCTGGGCAATAGTTAGTGTTCTTCGATATTCTGTTAGGACATTAGAGAAAAATGAAACTAAGAAGTGTCAGTTCAGAGGCCACAGATTGTGTGCCTTTTGAAATTCTTCAGTGGTACTTTTCTTACATGGAGTTTCTTAGCTGTCTAAATACAGGAGGAATGGAAAACCGTGACCTCGAAGAGCAGGGTGGGCTGGTCATTTAAAGACCCAGGGAAAACTCCCCTTGGTCTACTGCCCTGAAGGGCTGCATCTCTCTGACTCCCCCCCTCAAGGCACTTCAGCCCCATTATTCCTGCCTCCATGGGGTGCTTGTTGAGAGCTCTCCCCATATGAGCACCATCACTGGGCACTGCAGCTTCTGTTTCAGCCAGCTATGCTGCCTGGCCCTGGCAGCCCTGGCTCATCATTGCTCAGCCCTCGTGGGCCTACGCAGCTTTAGGCATGCTGCAGTGGCCAGGGATTCTGAGCTGAAGCTGTCCAAGCTGTAGGGGGCAGGCAGTGCAGCTGGCGAAAGCAGAAATTGCAGCTCTTTGCTGCAGTGCCACTTTTTAACTGCAATTCAGCTGGTGCAGGTACATGGCCAGCTGGCTTCAGAGACTCCTGTTCCTGGCCACTTCTAATGGATGGATTGACTGGGGCAAGGTAGGTTGGAGGTGAAGAGGCCCTTTTCCTAGCGGTCGATATTGGAAACAAGTCTGGGAGGCTCGTGGCTGAGCCTGTTCCTAAAGCTGAAGTGCTGCCGGGAAAAGATGGGGATGGAAGCTTTTTCTGCTCCTGCAACTCTGCAAGTGTGCTCGTGTCTCATTTGGTCAGTTGTGTCTCAGGCAATAACTCTTCTAGCTGTGTTACTGTTTTGAATGGGAGTGGTGGCCTTCCCCCTTCTAATTGGAATCCCTCGTGCCTCGGCTCCAGCAGGACTCTATCAGGTGAGGTGGGAGGGTGCAAGAGCAGGGGGCGATTGTGATGCCATTTTACAGGGCTGTCCACACCTGTTGGACAGCTAATAGCAATAGCATGTTGGAAGGAACAGTGAGCCGATGTAGCAGTGGACAGGCAAATTGGTGCATATTTTTACATTACTGTTGCATGTTGTAGTCATATGTAATTACTTATGATAAATATTTTAATCTACATTTTAAAATTGTTGTTGCTTGCCCTGAGTGATATTAATCTGAAGCAAGAGACATTTTTATATGGTGCTGTCTGTTTTTTGCTAGGCAATCTTGTTCTTTAGTTGCCCGTATACAAGGTAGAAATCGTTAAAGCATGTTGACATAACTTGGATAAATTACGGGAAAACAACAGGTTGCCAGGTTCGCTCTTCCAAAAGGAATCCAGGAGCAGATTAAACCAGTCAAACTTGGTCAAGAAAACACTTTTGATCATATTAAAAAGGAACTTTCAACCTTGAGACAAGATATAACAACAGAATTTGCACAAACTCAAGAAAAGATCCAAGAAAACATGGAAAAGATTGTTCAAGTCCAAAGACTATATAAAGAACTGGAATAAATGCCAAGAAGCCCATGATCAATTGCCAGAGCAAACTAAAAGACTGAAACTCTGGAGTTCCAGAATAGAAGTTGTAACTTCAGGTTCCAATCCCTTCCAGAAGATTTTGGTAAAACTCACCTTGAAGATGACTTTTTTAAGCTGTTACAAGTTTGAAGGAGACCCCTGAAAACTTACCAGATACATAGAATGAATTCTAGATTTGCTGCCAAAAATAAACTGCCGTGTGAAATTTTAGCGAGATTCACACATAAGCAAATGAGAGATTTTATTGTGAATAAACAGCGAGCTTCTCCTCTTAAAATTCGCGAGACAGAAATACAAGTCTTTCAAGACCTCCCTTCCACTCTTCTGAAGAAAAGAAGAGATTTTGATTTCTTAAGATGTTTTCTACAAAAGAAATAAAGTAGTGCTGGAGAACCCCATGTGCATTAGAAGTGTAGCTTACAAAAGGCAGAAGAATTATATCTACAACTGCAACAAGCTAAACAACTTGTAGAAGAATTATTACAAGGTACAGACAATGAAGAAAGAAAATTAGACGAAGCAGCAGCATTATAACAAAAATGGATAATATGAATGTGATATCAATAAACATTAATGTCTTAAACTCCCCTACAAAACGGTCTAAAACAGGGGTGTCGAACTCATTTGTTATGAGGGCCGGATCTAACATAAATGAGACCTTGTTGAGCTGGGCCATGTGTGTCATAAAATGTAATGCCAGGTAACGGAGATATAAACTTTATAAAGGACACAAACACAAAGGTTTCTTTTAACTTAAAATAAAAACATGCTTAAAACATTAGCACTCTTGCAATATTTTGTTTATTTAACAGTGTCTGATAACTGACACCTCTTGCTCTGAATTATTGCACCAAAATGTCTGTGCTGTTGCAATCTTGAGTATGCTGTCAGGTGAGTATCAGTAAGCTGCAAACCTATGATGGCTCAGCAGCAGCAGAACTGGAAGAAGAAGCAGAAGACAGCCAGTTCCACCACAGGCCTGATAGAAGCCCTCCGGGGGCCTGATCTAGCCCCCAGGTTGCATGTTTGACACCCCTGG